GAGAGAGCGAGGAGAGACAGCCAGGGGAGAGAGCGAGGAGAGACAGCCAGGAGAGACAGCCAGTAGAGAGAGTGAGGAGAGAGAGCAAGGAGAGACAGCCAGGAGAAAGAGCGAGGAGAGACAGTCAGGGGAGAGAGCGAGGAGAGACAGCCAGGAGAGAGTGAGGAGAGACAGTCAGGAGAGACAGCCAGTAAAGACAGCCAGTAGAGAGAGCGAGGAGAGAGAGCAAGGAGAGACAGCCAGGAGAAAGAGCGAGGAGAGACAGCCAGGAGAGAGAGCGAGGAGAGACAGCCAGGAGAGAGAGCGAGGAGAGACAGCCAGGAGAGAGTGAGGAGGGAGAGCGAGGAGAGACAGCCAGGGGAGAGAGCGACAAGAAACAGTCAGGAGAGAGTGAGGAGAGACAGTCAGGAGAAAGAGCGAGGAGAGACAGTCAGGAGAGAGATAGGAAAGACAGTCAAGAGAGAGAGTGACGAGAGACAGTCAGGAGAGAGAGCGAGGAGAGGCAGTCAGGAGAGAGAGAGAGGAGAGGCAGTCAGGAGAGAGAGAGAGGAGAGGCAGTCAGGAGAGAGAGAGAGAGGAGAGGCAGTCAGGGGAGAAAGAGAGACAGCCAGTAGAGAGAGTGAGGAGAGACAGCCAGGAGAGAGAGCGAGGAGAGAGTCAGGAGAGAGAGCGAGGAGAGACAGCCAGGAGAGAGAGAGCGAGGAGAGAACTGAGGATTTTTGAGAGCAGTACTGAGGCATTGAGCTGTGATGTTTGCAAGGAGCTATGTACAGCACCCTGCCAGCCCCTCCCTACAGCCATGATCTGCCTGCATTGCACAGAGACCCAGTGATGATGTTACTGGATCTAAAATGAGGTGTGAAATGAAAACAGTGACAATAAAAATGTCCTCAGTGTTGTAATAAAGGGGGCGGGGAGGAACCATTGAAGTCCAAATATCAGCAGATAAAACGTCACCTGTAATCCGGCCCTGTGCTATGTTTATATGGCTTGTACCTTGTAGGGTCTCAGGCAATGTTTGTACAGACAGGTTATGAAGAGACAACACCAGAAGATAAACTTACAGTGTTATAACACAGACCAACTTCTATCCCAAACAGAACGTCTATCACTTCCATGGCTATGTAATCCCGCGCATGTCCTCAAAACATGTGTTCACAGCCTGGAGAGCAGATGGATCATTGCAGCGATCCCGGGGAACACGCCACTTCTGTGCCTCTTATTTTCACACCTCCACCCAGTCTTTGTAGATCCAGCGATGTGGATTGCTCCGCCTCTAATTTCTCAGCCTTTCCCAGCAACGCATGTTATTAAACATTCATTAGTGGCTGAGTTAAAGGGGAAACAAAGGTTACGTATTGCAGCCTACAACTCCCTAGAGGTGGTGGAGGCATTAGTTCTCCTATTCAGGATTATTTATCTATATATTTACCAGGTGACCCTGCCACTAACACACTCCCTGCCCTAGGGTGGCAACATTCAGCTCTAGGCTGATGACAACATTTGGACTACAGAACGTCTCCCTCTTTTGTCATCTCCATTACATATGCCAAGGTTAGGGTTGCCACCTTTTCTTCAAGCGGAACCCAAACACTCTAGCGGCACGCAGTAATTTTTTGGGGAGAATGACTCCCCATTTTTTGGGGAGAATATCACAGTTGAGACTATTTTCAGTGGGGGGCCAGTAGCCCCTTTCTTAATTTTGGTTGCCCCCGTCTGTATGACATCTTGTGTCCGGGTTTCTGCTGCCATGAAACCCGAACACAGCAGTCAAAACCCCGGGCTGCCTGGGTGAATCCTGGACAGGTGGCAACCCTAGCCGAGGTGTTCTGTAGTCCTAAAACAGTTCCTGATAACATTGTTTGAGATAACACTGCACAGTGTACAGGATACAGGACAGCACTGGATTCCCGGAGGAGCCCTAGGATACCCCTCCCTTTCCTTTTCTACATAACATAGTGGAGGATGTTCTGAGGTCCATAAAGATAGCTGAGCACAATGCTAACTGACAACAGTGCAGAGGACCGTGTGAGCTTGCTGGATTTCTTGTGGGAATAACAGTTTTTGTTTTGCACTTATCAAAAAGATATGACAAAATGTTTTCAATGGTTAACCATTGGTTAACCAATAAGAGAAAGACCTGCTTCTTCGCCCCTCTGTTCTGGCAATGGAATGTCCCCCGGCGTCCCCACATCCAATACACTGTATTGGACGGGGTGACACATGGGTTCTTAGGCCTGGTTCACACCTGGGCATTTTGTAGCGAGTTCCTACGCTCTGCAAAACGCTCAAACACTGAAATCCCATTATTTCCTATGGGTATGGTTCCCACCTGGGCGTATTACAGGCCGTATGAACGCGCTACAAAACATCCTACGCCCGAAGAAGTACAGGAGCTTCTTTGGGGCGTTTTTGTTGCGCATTTCCATTGGGATACAGCCAAGTAGCCCTTGGAAACGTGCGTTTGTCGCACGTTTTTTACCGCAAATCGCGTGAAAAACACGCATATTCAATACGTCTAGGTGTGAACCCAGCCTTAGACTGCTGGAGCGAAGGGGGAGAGAGGCTGCAGGGAACGCTGCTCCGCTGTTTGGTTCTTTCTTTTTTGTTTTACACCCTATAGACCAAAATGAGCACTTAACCCTTGCAGTGCAGAGAGTAGCCCCACTGCAAGGGTTCATTTTGTTTCTGCATTGCTTTAGATTTAGGCATATGAGACAGACTTGTCTGTTGCTTGTCTGGTTTATAGTTACAGCCCAATTAACTTTTTATATGACATGATGGGGAGTGATATTTGTTTTCATTTCTTTTACAGCGGTAGACAAGCACCAAAGGCTATGGGGCCGTACTGTGCAGAAGCAGCAGGCAGCAAGAGGAGTTCGGGGGAGGATGTAATCAATCCCCTCAGGCCACAGGCGCTGGATCTCAGTAAAGATGGCCATACACCTATAAATTATCTGCAGATTTTCTATGGTCAGATGGAAAAAGTGCAACAGATTCCTTCATCTACGCTAAACTGTGTGGATGGAGGAATCTCCCACTGGGCCAAGCTTCAGTATCTTGCTAGTCGACCCCGCTGGCTGCCAAAATATCTGAACAATGCCTGCATCCAATCAACATCAAACATTAGATACTGCCAATGTGTTTCGGGGGAATGGACTCCCCCTTTTTCAGGGCTTGAGAAATAAGATGTGATGGAATCTGGAAGGTATGCGGCTCATAGCCTAACTCCAGTAAGGGCAGCCCACTGGATCAAAGTATGGATGAAGTACAGGTTCACTTTAAAAGATCATTTCTCATTGGTTGCGACGGGCTACTGTGCTTGAAAACTGTTGGTAAGTCTGTAGTTTGTGTGACCAGCGATGCCTTACAGCCCTTGTCATGGGAATGGGTTACAGCGCTGGAATGTGGACAGGAAATGAAGCAGCTCCTGGGTATGAGACAGGCATTCCAAAGCCAGAGGGCATAATTCAGTATAAACAAGGCCAGACATACTCGCAGAGCGGGGCAGAACACACAAACATAAGCTAACACAGCGAGGTGAGCGGGACCCAGAGACAGGGATATACAGGCATTTTCTGTATACATGATACCACATTCCTCTGTCTTCCAGTCCAGATGTACAGTACAGGCCCACAGGCAACTGTGAATAAGCAGACACGCTATTATAAATACAGTCACACATATACATATATATTTGGGGAGAATCAGGATGCGTTTTTATGCAATGTGTTAATCTACCACCTCTGATAAGATGTGATTCCAGGTTAACACCTACGGTTACGTCAACTTAATTAAAGTCAGTCTTGCATCAACGTAATTAAAGTCGGGCGCGTTTGTTTTTTAGCTGTACAGGGGTCACCCCATCCAGTCTGCATGGACTGATCTCAGTGACATCATTCTGCCCACTAACAATACAGAGAGAGTGAGACATTCCGCAGCAAAGGCAGACAGGCAGGGTGGATGCTCACAGCTGTGCTCCGTCTGAATGCCAGTTACACGCTGGCACTAGAAGCCCATCTGCAGCCATTTTAAAAGGGCCCTGGTTTGCCACCCCACTACAAGTGAACCCGGCTGTGAAAACAGAAGAATCCTTTTACTGAATTTTACACGGAATATAATCTCACGCTGAAGGATTCCAGCACAGGAGTATTTTACCAACTTGTGCAACTACTGGGACAGTTTTATTTAAACTCCACTGAGGATCACGGCGCTGTACGCCCAGTAGAAGCAATGCCAGACCTAGGGCAGTACCCCAGCGCAATACTTTCGGTACATACGGGATTCAGCTTTTACAACGCATTTGCAAAACTTTTTAGAAGCTTTGTTGATGACTTAAAAGCAAACTTTAGCTTCTGGTTTAACGTAGATCTATATCGGAGAGTTGACTGTCACTTTAAATAAGCTGTAAGCAGGCTTCAGCTCTACTTGGAGCTTGTCGAAAGCCTGCTGAAGTCTCATAGCAGCTTCTTTGAAGTAGCAGCCAGCACTCCCATAATGATCTGTGTCATATATTGCAAATCTGGAGTTGAAGGTTGTCTTAATAAGGATAAGTGCGCATTCAGACAAAGTGCACTTATCCTTTTTGCGCTGACCTAACCCATCCCACCACCCCCATGCACAGATGCACATTTACCTTGACCCGATTGCTTACATGTTTTCCATGCCTGTGCATTACAGCCTTATAGATAACTATGGGGCTGTATTTCCAACCGCCTACCTTCATCTCCGGCCCCAGGGGTGACCAGGAGAGTGAGAATTGTGGCACTGGATGTAAATGATCGCAGAGGCCATGGGATTAAGGTGAGTATGCATCTTTTTAGTTTAGGCCAGGGCAACGGGCCCTGAACTTTTTTCTGAAACTGGACTTATTCTTTAAAGTCATCAAATGAGCTGAATGAAGCCTGCAAATATTTGCAGAACACACTGCTCTTATACAAGCTGAAGCCCATGAGCACAAGGCCTTATGGTCTAGTAGGGTAATGTAAGTCTGGTCTTACTTTACTGTCCTCTTCTTCTTCTTCTTGACTAGATTGGCTGGATGGAGTTGTCGCCTTCTCTTCACACTCCGTGGCGTCCATCTCACTTTCTTTGGCCGCGGGCAATTTCTCAGCTGCCCCGACTTCTTCCACCGGGGCAGTCTCGGTCACTGTCCTTTCAGGCACTTCTTCCTCTGCCGCATGATCCTCTTTGTCATCCCGTTCTTCTTCCAACGTTTCTGTCACTCTCTCCTTCACCTCTGCTTCATGGGATTCCTCAGCTGGCTGCTTTTCTCCTGTAGAGCGAAGCTTGACCCAAAGCGTGGCCAAGATGACAGCCAACGCTGTGAAGATGAGTGGAACTGTCAATGAGAAGTCCCCTTCGAGCTCCATGCTGTCTGGGATGAGATGGCTTTTGTTCTCCTCTCTGGAAGGAGCTGTACAGACTGATCCTCACTCCTCCCAGCTAGCCTTCCACAACACAGCTGTCACTGGCCTGGCCCTGCCTCTTCCATTAGAAGCAATATCCCAGCAGCTCTCCGCCTAGCTATACAGAGGGCAGCGTGCAGGCTGGAAAAATCCGTTATCTGTCCAAGCTTGTGCACATCACAGGTTTAAGTCAACTATCCTTTTTTTCAATGGTTTTGGAGCGATGACTTTTATAAGCACTTCTGGTTGTTATTTCATCATTTCTACGTGAACTAAGCTACACGGAATAATCGTGACATCTGGCCATCCTGAGAATGATCAAAGAGGACCCTGCAGCCACAGCAGTCATTTCCTGCCAACTTGAATTGACGTCACGTGACCGTCTAGGCGTGAAAATGTCATCTCCTATCACAAATATCCATCCAGCTGTGTATTCAATTTCAGCTAATACGATCAGATAGTGTTTAGTAGATTTTTTTTTTTTTTTTAATCATTCATGAAAGTGGGGCTCATCTAAAAGAATTAGTGTGCTGCATTAACCACCTGTTGTCCGGAGCAATTTCTTACTATTTGCACACTCATGATAAAATCTGAATTTTTGGCTAGAAAACAACTTCAAACCCAACAATATATATACACTTCTTCACTGATTACATAGTTTCCACTAAAGTGATGCACTTTTCTGACTAACACTGCACCATGCAGTTTCCACTGCACTGACTATTACTGCACGCACACAGTTTTCACTGCACCAATGCATTTGAACTTACTACAACTTCACCCACACAGTTCCCAATAGACATGTGCAGCCGCAAAAATTTTGTTTCGTTTCGGATTTTGTTTATTTCGTATTTCCAAAATTGGGTCCTGTATGTGTTTTGTTTTGGGTTTCATATTCGGGTCAGATTCGTAATTCGGATCGGATTCGGTTTCAGGATTCGGACGAATTTCCAAAATTTGGGGTTTTGTGCGAACTGACAAATGTTCGTACGTAGCAGAATTGACACAGTTGACATTTCTGGTTGCTGTGCTCTAGTCGTCAGTATTAAAGTGACATTAACCCCTTCATGACTGAGGCCCTTTTTTCCATTTTTGCACCCATGTTATATTCCACATTTTAGGCCTGAAAATGACGTAAAACCCCCCAACATTATATATTTTCTGAATGCCAAGACCCTATAGAATAAAATGGTGGTAGTTGAAAATTTTTATGTTGCGCAATATTAGCGCAACTCCTTATTAAACCCCAAAATTTAGTGACAAATTTAATTAAATGCCCCAAAACACAACAAATTACCCATTTTTTTAATGAAATATAAAAGATGAGGTTACAACGAGTAAAACGATACCCAACATGCCCAGTTTACAGATTGCGTGCGACCGTGAAACGGCGAAAAACTGCAGTACCCCAAAAAGTCAATAAAAGACACTTTAAAAGCCCCCACAGGTCATCAATTTAGAGATACCCCAAAATACTGGCCCTAGAATTATTGCTCTCACTCCGGCGTGCGCGGCGATACCCAACATGTGTAGCGCGTTCGTCGTTTTCATGCGTAGGCGCACCCGACGCGTGTTTACGTGGCGACGCGCGTGCTCGCGGGGGCGGGGTACTTTTAAATTTTTTTTTATTATTATTAGATTTATTTTATTTCATTTTAATTTTAAAAACTGTTTTTTTTTTTTTTTTTACTTTACTTTGACTGCTATCACATGGGGGGGCTTGCAAGCCCCCCCATGTAATAGCAGATGGTGGTGACAGGTCCTCTTTAAGGTGATGCTGGGGGTCCAAAAGACCCTCAGTGTCACCTTTACACTGGAAATAAGCTATTGAAGTGCAGATCGCACTTCAATAGCTTATAGCTGGGCTGCAGGAGCCCAGAACTGACAGCCCAGGGACCGGAAGTGATGCAATCTGCATCGCTCCCGGTCCCATAGAACGGGGAGGGGATCGATGAACGGAAGTTCGTCGACCTCCTCCCCAGCTCCCCGCGGACACAAAGATCGCCGGTCCCGGGCCCGTAGGAGGGGCAACGGAGCCCGGGAAGCACGGCGGGGGTGTCCGGCGGGGGGGGCGGCCCCTTCTTCGGGACGCAGAAGCGATCTGGCGACAGGTAAGTCGCCAGGATCGCTTCTGTTGTAAAGCCGACAGTCGGCTCTACAAGTTTAAACAGAGTCCCGGCGGCAAAAGTCGCCGGGAGTCTGTTTAAACAGCCCCGATGCTGGCAACGTACACTGTACGTCGTCAGTCACAAAGGGGTTAAAATCCATTTCTTAATTATTTTTTTTATCCGTTTAAATGTTGACAGTGCATGCACAGGAACATGAAGTAATGTTTTGTTTTTATCTTCACAAATAATTTATTTAAAAATGTCAGTATGGTGAAACAGCCAGCGCGCTTTGGGGGCTCACACAATCCCAAATAGCATCAACAAAATTAAAAGCCCATTAAGCTGACATTTCCAGGAAAGAAAATCTCTTGCCCTCATCCTTGCAGCTCTCAATGGTTCCTCCTCCTGGCCTCCACATCATTACAGTGACCTCCAGGTCATTACTGATGAGTACACTGCAGCCAACTGTAAGCTCCCATTGTATTATCAAAGGTTATTATGGGTGTTATTCCTCTTTTTCCCTTGGAAGAAACCTGCTTCAGCTATGGTATGCTGGGGAATGGACATCAGGTCCTAATGTTAGAGATTCTTCATATGTGTGGCTCTCGAGCATGCGGACAGAATGCTCCAGCCAAAGTCCACCCACCAATGCACAGTGTCTACATATCTTATGCCAATGAGGAGAATGCACAAAATCCAGGTGCAAGCAGTGTGTCTTCTATGGTATAGGTGAGGGGCCTAAAAATTGGTGTCTTAGGTTCAAGCATTACATCATGGGAGGAGGTCTTATGCGCCCACATACCTGAAAGCATTGGGTATGTTACAGCAGTTGTGATGGAGTAAGAAGTAGGGGGAAATGCTGCAAAGGGGAATATAAGTGGACCAGGGGCAAAGTCACACAAAATAATTCCTTTTTGAAAAAAAATACTTTAATGCACATTTCTTAAAAGAAAAAAAAATGTGCATTGTGATTTCTTTTTGCATAGCGCCTAGAAAAGCATTGCACTTGCGGTCAGTAGATCACGTGTGCAATCCTCTGGCTCCTGCACACTGTTACTCCCATCCATGTCCATACCGAGGTATGGGCATGGAGTAACATGATTGGGATGGGATGAAGTGCCACTGTACTTGTACATTAGTACCTCAGTTAACGAACGCCTCTGTTCACGAACAATTCGGTTCGCAACCAGGAAGTTCGGCAAAATTTTGCCTCCGTTCGCGAACTCTGCCTCGGTTACGAACACGACGGCGGCCATCTTCCCCGCTCTGACACATGGTCGTGGCTTCCTGTACCTGAGATGGCAGTCGCAGACAGTGCTGTGGACACTTACTGTGAAGCATGGCTGGAAAAAGAACGTGCAGAGCGGTAATGAAGGTGACAAGAACGTGCAGAGCGGTAATGAAGGTGACAAGAACGTGCAGAGCGGTAATGAAGGTGACAAGAACGTGCAGAGCGGTAATGAAGGTGACAAGAACGTGCAGAGCCGTAATGAAGGTGACAAGAACGTGCAGAGCCGTAATGAAGGTGACAAGAACGTGCAGAGCGGTAATGAAGGTGACAAGAATGTGCAGAGCGGTAATTAAGGTGACAAGAACGTGCAGAACGGTAATGAAGGTGACAAGAATGTGCAGCGCAAGAATGGTGATAAAAATAAACTTGGTTAAATTTTTTCCCCCCCATATGGTTCAGAACAGATTAACCCTGACTTACATTGAACCCTATGGGAAAATGTGATTTGGCCGTTCAAAAAAGTCCATACATAAACATGAATTGGAGGTACATGTGCTTTTCTGCATCTGAAAATGGTGGCATGATAAATGCTACTGCAACATATTTATTTACATACAAATATATTTCTAGTGGTGGTGACTGTTACTACTGTTTACATATCCATTAAGGGAGATCGGGAATTCCTATAGGTGATAGTAGCAGGAGGAAAATCCCTATTGGTGGTCCTAGTGTGTTTCCCCCATATGAGGAATATTCCACTGAAACTACGAGTCCTTCTACTGTAGTGACTGATGGGACTTGTATTTTCTCTATTCACAGATCCTGACAGAGGATTAGTAAATGGGTGGCGTGGCTGTGTGGGCAGAGCCGTGCCGATTTCAATCAACTGCAGCAGCATTTGAAGAGAACCCCATGATTCAGGCAAGTGTGGGGGCAGGAGAGTCTGCAATCTGACCAGGTTTCATAGTACACCCTAAATATGGGTGTCACATGAAACATGGACTTGGCCTTTAAGCTAAGCATCATCTCTTCAGCATCCATTCTGAGGGATCATCTCACTGATGATCACATATGGTCTCACCTAAAAGCATTAATTAGCCAGACTGCTTTAGTTATTGACCTTTATTGCTTTAGAAAGTGTGGATGGCTTCAAGACGCTGACAAATGGCTTTCCAGCATATGGGTTTCTCTCTCCGGTCCAGTCCTCTGCTCAGTGGGCGGGTACAATAGCCAGCCTGCAATTACAATTTGAAATAGCCAATGGCAGGCTGGCTATTGATCCCCATTGTTTACATTCTGCTGCCGACCGGGGAATCTAGCCGCCGGCTGGCAGCAAGAGGTAACCAAAGAATTTTGTTAGCAACTAAATAAATTTTGTTGCTAACCAAATGTTTTAGTGTGCACCAAGCAACCGGCAAAAAAACACCGAAGTGAATAGGCAACAGTTGTCAAGTATTGGATAACGTCTGGAAAGATTATACCTCCTGTCTGTCAGTTACTCTGTGTCCCCACTAGGTAGATTCACCGTCTTCATCTGTCCTGGCGACCATTATCAAAAAGACAGAACGTTCCAAAATGTCAGAGTTGTCACCAGAACAGGAGGCACAGGCAAATCTTCTAAAAGGGACACCTTCTGAAAACTCGGAAGGGAATTCCCCTCACGTTGTGGAAATTTTCCCCAATTTCCTGTTACATCTCTAGGACAGGAAGTCCAGAAAAGGACATCTACCCAATGGGACACAAACCCCTAATTATTAACAGACAGGGGTTGTAAGCCATCCATATACAACACAACCACACACACACACACACACACACACACACACACACACACACACACACACACCACTTAAATGAAGTGGATATAATGGTGATTTTAAACTGGAAGCACAAAATAAATAAAAATACAGACAATCCTAAAATAAGTCCATTTATTTTATTTGTTAGAAAACATTAAAAAATATACAAATTAAAAGAATAAAGGGAGTATTTAAATTAACAGTGATCACAGACTGTTGTATAAGATACACATTGGTGGAACTAGAACTTATGAAGACTTCCACAGCTTGGATTTCATTAAACTGGAATCATTGGCAGCCCAGAAAAATCTCGGGGATTATCCCCATATTAAAATAAAAGGTGTTTTTATTTTTATTTCTGGAGGGTGGTCTAGTCTGCTTTTGGGGTATACTGACATTCTTTAATTACTTGGGGAGCTCAATCAATCAAAAACTGCAGCTGAAATGTCTGGACTGAGAAATGTTAACCTTCTAGGTAGATGCCGGATATGTGAAACTGGTTTCATAAGTCCCGTTCTAGGATGTCAGTCATTGTTAAAGGAGAACTATGAGGCGAGTGATTCTTACTCAGCCTCATAATCTGAGCCGACCTGCGACAATGAAACTGTCACAGGTCGGCTGAGTAGATCGGGAAGTGAGCGAACACATACTGGCGCTCGCTCACTTCTCGATCTGTCTGTGCAGAGAGCCGTGACTGTCACTCACGGCGCCCTGGCAGGGATTCCCCCCACCCCCTCCCCTGTCCGATCCTCCAGCGCTGACTGGTACAGCTGGCTCTGCCTCTAGATAGGCAGAGCCAGTTGTCACTCACGCAGCTGGACGGATCCAGACACAATTGTCGGGATGCGTTCTGGCTGCGGCGTCTCAGTATAGCGTGAGCTATAGCTCGCGGAATACTGAGCTTTGGGTGACGGGAGGACGCTAGGAGAACTATGGGGAAAAGCCCTAACCCCATAGTTCTCCTTTAAGTGTCTGGCCTCTTCCAGGTACCCCATGAACTTTTCTGCAAGATATTCTGTTATTCCAACCAGGGCTAATATATGAACAAACAGGGGAAGAAAAGGAGACTGTGAGGACCACGTTCTGATATGGTCATTTGAGAACACGAGGCAGAAGGCATTAACATCCTCTTACTAAAATCTGCAGCCATCTTCTCCGCAGTTGCCAGTATTTGGACTTTCCGGACAGCCCTGAATCTAATTGGTTGCTTAGAAATAATTACACAGTTATCATTAGTAGGAACATGTTGATAAATCCGTTTTATTGGCTAATTAGATAATATATTGGAGAGAAATGATGGCTCCAATTTAACTCGTCATGAACGATACACCTCCCTTGCTCACAGTGTAAAGCTCTGTGAATGAGCATTTTCATATGTGCCGTGCTGCATTTTAAAAGGATCCCATTTTGCCGACTTGGAAAATGGTAATGCATCCAAAATGCAGCATCTGCCGGATCTTTCCAACAGTATAATGCATGGCCCCGCATTTCAGAATGCAGAGCAATGTGAACAAGCTCTTAGGTGTTAATGCATCACCCCGCAGAGTGTTCTATAAAACATCAGCATATAAAAAAAAAGGTATTCTCCAACACTAAGGCTCCATTTACACCTGCACGTTTGGAATGCCGCACGATCATATGTGCGGACAAAAATGTGCAATTTTAAATAGCCGCGCGTTCGAGGCTACGACCAGTCAGAACAGAAATCAGCCACAAAAATTACACGTACTTTTTGCCTCGTTTTTTGTACGAACACACAGGTTTGAATGAGCCCCATAAGAATGTATTGCTTTTTGTTTGTTTCCGCCCGTGGAACCAGGCTTAAGTGGACACCAGAAGAATTACCATCTGGGCTTGAGAAGTGTCATGGGTGGACTGCACCAAACTCTGCCTCTTTCTGTAATGTTACACTATTTTCATCATGGTATTACCAAGTGCAAAAACCACACCCACCACTAGGGGCGTATGTAATATTGTGCATTCATAGAGGTACCACAGTGCACCTTGCAGATGGATACAAATGGTGTACGCTCCCTTTTCTGAACTAGCTAACACATGTATTAAGGGTGACGCTGAGAACATTATAGGGGTTGGGTTAATAGGGGCGATACAAAATGCAACAATGATGTTCATGGAGCAGTAACCCATAGTGTCTAAATTTAATTATGATGGAAAGCAACTGGTAAAGCTGCATGCAAACAGGGCATTATTTAGAGGCATTTAAAAATGAATATAGATAGTAATGGCCAATTGTGTTATAGGATTGTATTTAACAAAGGCAAACCTGGTGTGAGAGAAATGAGTAGGCCGTCATTACTAACCGTCTTACAATGCTAGCTGCCTTCTATATTATGAGTCCCCGACCTAGAACTGTACAGATGATGGGTTCTGCCTCACTGTGACTTAAGCTGCACACTTGTTTGGGGGTGAGCAACTCACAAATGACTGAAGCTAAATGATTAGCAGACCTGCCAGGCAACTAATATTTTAATGAGGTGGTCAGGGCCGTCAGTCCAAGTATTTGCCCTAGGACAGGTTTCCTCCAATGTATTGCATTTGCACTTTTTGCAAGCTTCCTTCTGCAAAGATATTTTCTTCTTGCCTCAATGTAACACATGTGTGGAAATAAAGAGTATGTAACAAACACCTTCTAGGAACGATTACCGCACTATACCTTATGTAAAGTAACATGCCATTCCTCTTGCTATGCCATATAACAGTACCGGTGTATAGAGGCTGATAAAACTTGAGCTCATCCAGGCTCTGGGGCATATCTAGCAAAATAAAGAAGTAAAACCACTCAATCTGCAAAGAGAGGAAGAAGGAAGGTAGAGTTCAATGCAGTGTGACATTCTGACTCTCATCCTCCACACATTCCGCTGTATTACTACACAATGCAACTCTTCAAGAACTCATCACCCTTCGCCTCCATACCTCCTACAAATGCCCGCTTCGCTTCCCGTGTCACAACAATACAGCAGGCCCTGAGCAGCAGCGCCCCTCCGATCCTCACTCATCCTCTGTGGCCAACTTGCTTTCACCTGTCCCAAGACCAAAACATGCCAGACCCCGAGCAGTCTCCCCTTCAATCTCCACCCACACCCTGCAGAATACAGAGGACTGTCTCCGGGGGCAATTAGTTGCTGCCACTGCCTTCTTTACCAAGATATCACCCCTCACTACCACCACTGCTCTGCTGTACTCTGGCTTGCTCTGCACCATCATGTTGGCTAATAGGGCAAGCTGCAGCAGTGGTACTGGCTCCATGGGGGCCACACGGAGAACCCAAAGGCAGAAGGGAAAGCTGGAGAGTAGCTCAAGAAAGTAGCTATGAGGAAGAAGCTAAAAGTGCATTCATCTACAGCCACACCATCTCCCTCCCCCTTACATCATCCTCCTGCTGAAAGTGCATCCCTGCCCAGGCACAGAGACTCCCACCTATATCATCCCTCTGTCCTCCCCAATACGTCAGCACTTTGACAGCACCTCCAACCCACTTTACCTCCCATAATAGCATGCATCCATCTCAAACTTTCACAGCATCACTACACATCCCTCTTACTCACCATCCTTATCCCTTCATTTCACCCACACCAGCCCCCAAGTTATAGCACTTCAAACCACCAACCAACCCCTCACCCAATACATTCCTCTTTACAGACCTCTCCCAGTCATTTACAGTGCTTCCTTTTCTTTTACATCGATCCCATGCCACCTCACCCTCCGCATGCACCATTAACTCTCCTCTCGCAGTGCCCACTTGGCCAGCTTAACCACCTCCCCTAACTATCCCCTCTGCTGCTCCTGTACCCTGCCATATGCATGCAACACTCCACAAGCTTACCTCTTCTGGAAGGAGCACCCTTTTGCCATGTTTATATACATTTCACAGCTGCTATCTGGGGATTATTAGAGAGCATTGAAACAGCCTCTAAGGACAGGCACTGTTAGATGGAATAGTAAGAAGACTGGCATGGTTTACTTTAACATGCCTACAACTTATTAACAAAGCCGATATAAAAAGTATTTGCACCAGAATTGTAAAGTAAAACTCCATCCAAGAAAATCATCTGTCTTCAGGACATGGGCAGCGGCTGCCAGCAGATTTCAATTTGGTCTTCGATTCAGATTTAACCGGTAGTTTTATTCATAATATAAACGATCTTCATTTCCACTCTGGGAAGGCCACACATACCGTCATGCACTGTATTTTCTTTAGGCAGATGTGGTTGATGTCCAAGGTTTAAAACTGCAGCATTATCAGTGTACAATTGATCACAACTATCTAACTCATCAGCCTCTCAATCTCCTAATTACGGCATGAAAAACAATGGCTAAAACAAAGAATTGGTGGATTTGAGGTCTCCATGATTCATAAAAAATGGTGGCACAGTAAATTTCTCTGCACGACTCCAGCAGCAGCAAAGTCCCATTTGAGAACGCTTCCCTGTGAGATCAGGAGCTGTCTCGGCTCCAGTGTTTATGAAACCATGCTGTCTATATCACCTGGACGAGCTGCGTTCTTTGCTCACACAGTCGTCCTGCGTGGTGCTGTCTCCGTTGCCCATCCCACATGTTCTTCTCTTCTTTTTTCTGTGAGCCATAGTCTCTGCTCCAGAGCTCGAGTCATCCTGTGCAAAGAACAAGAGTGAAAAGGTTAGTGGCATACAACAATCTATCTTTTATTTTGTGTATTTATACAGCAGACATGTTACACTTTGTTTTATAGAACACACAGAACCAGTTACATCAGTCTCTTACCCTAATAGGTGCTCACGTTCTAGTGTTCCTACCACACCTACTAGGGCCAGGTTTGGGAGATGGCATGGGCAGAACACCTTCTACTTGTATACTTTCCTTTCAGTTTTGGACCCCGCCAGGCTACATGTTTGCAACGATATCCACTATACATTCAGCCAACACATCACTGCCCCTCCACTCGGGCCAACATATATACATCTCCTAGGGCAGTGGTTCTCAATCTGTGGGTCGTCACCTAAAAATGGGTCACAACCCACTGTCGAGGGGGTCACCACATGCTTTGTGCTGCGCTAGGCGAGAGGCTCCTCAGCCACCTCCTAGAGCAGCAGTGTCAGTTCTCCGGCCGCACCGCTAGATGGCGCTGCAGCACCGGCAGCCGAGGAGGATCAAAGAGAGGGGACCGGGCGGGAGTGAGGGGGGTTGAATGCCAGCTTGACCACCAAAGAGCCCACGCTGGCCACCAAAGAGCCCCATTTAACTCACATGAGCCCACACTGGCCACCTGATTTAGTATTAGTGCATTCCTAAACTTTACCATTGGGGGTCACCACAACCTTGCAAATGTTTCCAAGGGGTCCCAACCCTAGAAAGGTTGAGAACCACTGTCCTAGGGCTTAATGCTGCCATAGCTAAACACCCCATTCCCGCTCTTGTTTCTTTGCTCAACCATTTTAAAAATCAGGTTTTTAGAGTGTGCAGGGTCTTGCAGTTCCTCAGATGCCAACCTGCTACCAGCTTCACTTCATTACCTTGCAAGTTCTACAAATGTTTGTTTCTAAAGTGTTTATACAAATTGTGAAAAAACTAAATGAAAACACCAGTATAAAAAAAAAAAGAGGTACATTTTGTCCGAACCTAATGGAAACCATTACTTTCCCTTTAATGACAAGCCTGGAGAAAAGAATATTGTATGTGTGGGCAGAGACATTTATGGCTCTGCCATTCTCAAAAACAAGCAGCAGCGTGCGGGGAGAGGAACCAAACGATTCAGGTAAGTTTGTGTGTGTGGTGCGATGTGACCATGTTTCATGTTACACCCTGAATATGGGTGTAACATGCAATATGGTCAGAAAGGTGAACTTAGCCTTTAAAGCTCACCCTCTGACACACTCAACTTATTTTTATAATGACACTGCCTAGCTAAAAAAAAAAAGTCACCACCTGCATTTAGCTAAGCAAATAGGGAAGAACTTCCCATTGGATAATAGGTCAAGGTTCAGCAACATTATGTCCCCAAAAATGAGGTCACCTGCCTTCCTGAATGACCAGGTTTTTCCATCAATGGATTTTTTCTCCCCTGATGGCACGGTCATATTCCAAGATGACAATGTCAGGATTCAGCGGGCTCAAATTGTGAAAGAGTGGTTCAGGGAGCACGAGACAGCATTTGTCACACATGGATTGGCCACCAGACTCTAGACCTTAACGCCACTGAGAATCTTTGGGATGTGCTGGAGAAGACTTTACGCCGTGGTCCTGGTGAAAAACTAATGCAACTCTGGATGGAAATAAATGTTGCGACATTGCAAAAGCTTACGGCGGTCCAATTAAATATTAGAGGGTGTGACTTTTTGTTTTGGGCCCGGCAGTGTATACTCTTTGGCAAACAAGACACTGCAGTATATGAAATACATATTGTGGCTCCCTCATGTGTACAGAAATTGTTAATCACATTATTTGCACTTAGTGCCTTTTATAGCCCCGGGATTTGGCTTTACTAGAGATCTGTCACAATATATTAAACGGTTTCCTGAAACGGACTCCCAAAAGACATCAGTTGTAGTAATGCCCATCATCATGTCCTAACAAGTGAAACTTAACTGCTTAAAGAAAGCATGAGAGGACAATATGTCATGTGTTATTAGCCAACAAGCACACAATTACTTCCGATGTCAAGCCGCCTAAGCTGCTTTTATAGCCCTGGTTCTCTTGAGTGTAATAACATCTGGCTGGAGATCTGATCACCATTTGTAGCGAGTACCACAGAGTCCTCAGTCTTTTTCTGCAGCCCCAGCACTCCGGACAGAGGCTTCCTGTTTATTCATACATTGAGGAGATAGTATCTGTTTACTAGTCCATAATCATAAATGAGCACTTCCTGATCATTCATAATTGGGGACTCAGTATCTGAATTCTATGTCCTCAATTATTTATGAAGATCATTGTAATCAGTACTGATCACCAACTGGGGATGCACAGATGCTGTTTTTTTGGTATCGAGTACTGATATTTTGTTTTCCGGTACACACCGATACTGAATACCGATCCTGGCATCCTGAGGTAGCGTGGGTCTGGCTAATCTGGAAGCCGGGCGGTGGGTCATGACCCGTCGCCCGGCGTTCCGATTGCCTGGGAAGCCGGTGTTCTAGTGAAAGCACACTGACTTCACGCTCCCGCGCACCACTGCGAGGCAGCCTGGCTTCCATGACCTGCCGTCTGGCTTCCTGATTGGCCGGGAAGCTGGCTCCATGCACCCTCATCAATAGGTGCGAGGGGGCTTTCCTCACCACTGGGCACCAGCTGCAGGGGTCTCTATCCCCTCTGATCCCCGCTGCTCCTGATGAAACACCAGCCCCCAGCTTGGAGGAAAGAACGATTCCCATTATTGATTAGTTGGTTACAGCCCTAGATAAAAGTGTACACAAAACAGATTGTATGGGAAGCCCATTTAACATATACATAGGGCAGATGAACACAATATGACCCTGGTTTTTTAAGTATACAATCTCCCTTTAAGCAATTTTTCTTAGCCATCTTTCAGTAAGCCTCACCTCCGAACCGGATTCAGAAGAACTTGAGGAAGAGGAACTCGAGGAATCACTTGAAGAGTCAGAAGCAATCCCTGTCGATTCCTGCAAATCCACCGTATCTGCCAGAGCTGCCAGCTCAGGACGTTCTTGCTTCAAGATTCTGTGAGAATGAGGAGGGAGTAGCGAGTTAGTGTCGGCAATAAACAAAGGATGGATAAATGAACAGGAAACAAAGGGCATCACAGTTTAACTCACATTTGGTACATACTGAAGGTGTGATCAAGAACTGTCACAGTCGAGCAGTGGAGGGAATGAGGCGTGTGAGGTGTAAAGAGACACTTCATATGTTTATCTACGTCAGCCGTAAAGTGCAGGTTATAAGATTCAGGGCAGAACATGGGAATGTGATCAGTTGAAGCAAACCCTGATCAGCTCACAGCTGCTTTGGTGACAGCTCCATCTAGTGGCCAAGTAAAAGTATGACCCATATGATGGCATCTGAGCTGCACCATAGAAATCAATTAGAATCCAAAAGAAACTCAAAGTAGCTCAATGTAACGCAGAAGCAGAATGGAGCAACTCAGAAGCAGCTCGTCATGTTCTGCTCTGAGCAAACTAAGGCTTAAAGTGATTTCCACTTTTGCAGCAAATTGGGATAACAATTGTTTATGTTGTTACAGGTTCTCATTCACAGTGCACAACTTAAAAACAAAAATTAAAAGTTACTGCCTAGATTTGCGAGTTCTTTATACTTGCTTACAAATCTTACTTTTACTCTAGTCCTGCAATGTCATTTTAAAATATTTTTACAAGCTTTTGTGGAATTAAAATCATCTACATGCATCTGGCGGATGTAATGTGCAAACATTTGAATGTTTGTGTGCACTTCTACTTGTTCTCATAATGTCCAAGCAATAAATGTTATTTAAAGAAAAAAAAAAATGTATACTGAAACCGTGGAGCCTGCCGGCTACTCCAATCCCTCAAGCCTGTCTCCTCCTACACTGCAGCAATGGTATGTCCCTTGGTGTCCTCATGTCCTATACACAGTGTATAGAATGTGATGACTCAAGGATCCTTGAACCGCTGCAGGAGGATGGGGAGAGAGGCTCCACAGACCAGTTTAAGACCAAGCCGGCTCTGAGAAATGGGCGAGTAGAACTTTTTCAGCACCTAGACAAAAGAGCAGCACTGAAAAGAACTATGGGGTAACTTTTTTTTAATCCTTTTTACGTCCTCCCATAACACAAATTCAGTATATAGTGGGGCTACTGCCCACTATATGCTGAGAGAGCCGCAGCCGGGATGAATCCCAACAATACTGTCGAGATCCACTCCACTGGCTGATTGAAAGCGGGCTCTGCCTATCTAGAGGAAGAGCCAGCTGTACCCGCCCCCTCCCCTATCTGTCCTTCCAGTCAGCACTGGCGGATCGGTGGGGAGGGGATCACTGCGGGGAGCGGTGACTGACAGTCACAGTTCTCTGCAGGGGGATGATCGGGAAGTGAGCGAACAGCAGAGTTTTTTTGTTCACTTCCCAATCAATAGAGCCGACCTGTGACAGTTTCCTTGTCACACGTCGGCTCTAACTATGAGGATGAGTGTCATTCACTCACCTCATAGTTCTTCTTCAATCCTGGCAGTGTGGTGGTAGACCCACTGCAAAGGTTAAAGGAGAACTATGAGGTGAGGGAAAAATATTCGGCTCTAACTATGAGGATGAGTGTCATTCCACCTCATAGTTCTTCTTCAACCCTGGCAGTGTGGTGGTAGACCCACTGCAAAGGTTAAAGGAGAACTATGAGGTGAGGGAAAAATCACTCATCCTCATAGTTAGAGCCAAAGTGTGACAATGAAAAACTGTCACACGTCGGCTGAATAGATCGGGAAGTGAGCGAACACATACCGTCGCTCGCTCACTTCTCGATCATGTCCTTGCAGAGAGCCGTGACTGTCACTCACGGCTCTCTGCATGCATTCCCCCCTCCCTGCTTCCGATCCTCCAGCGCTGACTGGCAGAACGGATGGGGAGGGGGCGGGCACAGCTGGCTCTGCCTCCAGATAGGCAGAGCCAGGTGTCAATCACGCAGCTGGGCGTATCTCGACAGTAATGTCGGGATCCGCCCTGGCTGCGGCGGTCTCAGTATACCGCGAGCTGTAGCTCGCAATATACTGAGCTTTGGGTCACGGGAGGACGCTAGTTTATGTCCTCCCGTGACCCTTATGAGAACTATGGGGAAAGACACTTACCCCATAATTCTCCTTTAACCCCTTCGTGACTGACGACGTACAGTGTACGTCGCCAGCATCGGGGCTGTTTAAACAGACTCCAAATTTGCCTGGAGTTCTGCTTTAAACATATCTTTTATTAAAGTGTATATATTCCTATGTCAAGTGTTTATTGCTAAAGAAGAAATAGCCGGCACTCCCTATACACTTTGTATTAAAAACAGAGGTTTAGTAGCATATATTTGCAGCAAAATCTATATGGAAGCCACACCCCTCTATTACAGTATGGTCCCTAATCTAACAAAGCTCTTATCCTGGGACATGCACAGCAATAAATAGATTAAAGGCAAATATGCCTCGAGGTAACCAATTCCTGCTAAAAGGTGCAGAGCAACACTAGAGTGCAGCAAAGCACACAGGCAGCTGAAGACCTCAAGTATGTCCCAGCAATTACTAAGTAACTTCCTAAAACAAGGTGAATGTTTCTAGCACACAAACCAGCTATTCAACAAACCAATTCAAAACTGGGTATGAATGCCCCTGTAGCAGGGGGGCACACATATTTTGGTGGTGCTGGTAACAGTCACAGCCAAAGTATCGGATACGCAACACCCTGTTCTGCACTTTAGCCCAAAATCAGGATAGAAGGATGTTACATGTTATGCTTTTATCGCTCTGTGTCCTCAGTGGGGAGAGTCACCCACTCTACAGGTCACCATGACGAAGGTGATGTCCCCCAAGCATACTTTGTTAACTTGATGATCTGCCCCGCTAGCCCAGATATGTTGGCCCGCTAGCCCAGATATGTTGGGTTACACTCCTGCCGCACACCCCTCCCTGTTTGGGTTATAAGGTGTGACTGGTGGCCTAATCGGTCAATAGGGAGGAGAGGAGTGCGGTAAGGAGCGGACCATAAAGTGACCATTACTCTGCAGGTTAACCAAGAACAAGTGCAGGCATCAGAGGTGGCCGCTTCTCCTCTAGCAGAAAATCTGTATACTTCCAAGTGTATATAGTTCTGCTGTAAATATTGCTTATTAATAAGAAATTCCACAACCTTCAACAAATGATGAACAACCTCTTACCTGTACCATTTTCTTGAAAGTTTAGGCCGCCCTCTCACTGTCTTGTGCCACACAACAGGGAAATTGGTGCAGCTGGCAAAGTTTTGGGTAATAGCGATAGCGGTGTCCAGGTTCAGTACAACATGCCACCAACCACCTGAAGAAAACAATATTATTCATAATTGAGTGGCACAACCATTATATAGACTTACTATAACACTGTAACGGCTCCTACAGATGAACATAAATGATGAACTCAGCTGTTCAAACTAAAAAGGGATTGCCATGGCAGAAGAACAAGATAAAATGGCACTGGAATTCCACACTATGCCATCCTCTAGCACAGCGGTTCTCAACCTTTCTAGGGCTGGGACCCCTTGGTAACATTTGCCAAGTTGTGGTGACCCCAATGGTAAGATTTAGGGAAAAAAATTATCGGTACTCGGTACCAAAATACCGGTATCGGTGCATCCCTAGTTGAGAACCACTGCTCTAGCATCTTACTTGGCTTCAAGTCAACTGAATGATCATGAAACCATGCAGCTGTCCATATAGGCGAGCCTATAAAAGTGAGTAAATGGGGTCTTAGGAAGAGAAGGTAAATGATACCATGGCACAAGTAGAAAGTTGTTGGGTGCCACACTTCAGAAATCAGCTCTCAGCAATGGGGTTGTAAGGGCTCGTTCTCACTATACTGTACAGCGGTAATCCATGCATTGCAACAAGCTTTTCTGTACTGTGGTGTACTGCAGCCCATTCATTTTGAATGGGCTCTAATGCAGCAAAAGTCATAATTGCATTTGTGTTGCAACGCTGTAGCACAGCCATGGGGTGCCATTCAAAATTACCTCAGTGTACTTGGTTTGAACGGGTCCCTAGGGGGCTCATTAACCTCTGTGCAGTTTACCATGCAGAAGAGAGACCTTCACACCTCATTATTGTGACACCTCATTACCAAACACTTGCATGCAGTTTGGTGCACTCAGCAGAACGTACAATTATAATTACCCTATTTTGACCCACAGTTTCCAAATCAGATTTCTTCCGCACACTCATACACTGTTTGTTGGTGCAAGTATTTACCTGGCACAAATACAGTCTCCCCGGGCTTCTGTAGGATCTCAAGGGGTTTGAACTCAGCAGGCCATGTAGGAAGCAATGTGCGTGGGTAGATGACATTAAACCAAGTGATGGCCTCATCTTGCTGGTTGCCACCATCATCCCGTGTCACTTTGATCAGTTCACGTGGGGTATTGGTGGGAAAGAGGCACCAACGCTTGTGGCCATGGACCAGGGCATTCCAGGCACTAGTTCCCAGAGGATCAATGTGAATTCCTGTTCCAGAGCGAGGAGGACCCATCACAAACCACCTGAAATAAAGCATAGGCAGGTTACACATAAAATAAATATCACTGATCAAGCCAGTTCACAGTGCAGTGAAAATTTTAGCAAATGTAGGCCACACAACGATATAGGAAAAGCATATAGACAGTAGAAGATCTGCTGGCAAATTATTATTACATTGTATTGGCAATTTTGCTTCCATCACCAATAATTAAATAATTTTATTTGCTTAATAATGGAAAATTATTTTTAAAAAAGGGGATGGTACAGTATGCTTTAAAACAGACTCACTTGACTAATTAAATGATCCACAACAACTCATGTGTGAAAGACTAAAGAATAGAAACGCTTTCACTGTGAGCCCAGGCTGCGTGACAATGAACCCCGCAGGGGATGTCATTGATCGTGTTGCTCCCGGAAAGGAACCTTGTGCAAGTTCCATTCAGAGCTTATGTAGAGCCGAGAACCCACTCAGCATTCCCATGCAACAACACTGAGTCACTGGTACATTGGAGGAATCAAAGGATAGGGGTGTGAGCTCAGTGCAGTAATACTCCGAGCTCACGCTGTGCGAGGACACTGTCCCATTAGCGCTTAAAAGGTGACCATACACTGTGCGAATTTGCACAGTGGGTGTCTCGATCAGCACCCTTTTAGCCGGCATCCCTCGATCAGATGATCAAAAGAGCCGGACGGAAAATCTTCGTACAAACAGAGCGGGCAGCCAATGAGCTGCTGGCTCTGTTCTCGTATTCCGACAGCGGCTGCTGCCAGAATACAATGCAAACAGCGGGGAATCCTCGATCGACACACTCAGTGTTGACGGAGGAATCTGCTCTATTTTCTTTGTTCAGCCCGTGGTGTATGACCAGCCTTAACCAGTTGAATGACACTAGTTGTATTTCAAGCTACCGTGTTTCCCCGAAAAAAAGACACTTATTTTTTTTTTTTTTTTTACACGAAAAAAGACACTAGGTCTTATTTTCAGGGGATGTCTTACCGGGCTGGGGGAGGAATACTCACAGGACTGGACGAGGTACCGGAAGGCGGCGTGCTGTTGCTGGTCCCGGTGTCGAAGTTGGCGGAGGATATGCCACTTCCATCGGGCGTGTGGGCGGTCTGGCGTGTGGGCGGGAGCTGCGGCCGGTCTTTACATTTAAAAATCAGTTATATGTGTAGCTACCCCGAAAGTAAGACCTAGCGCTATCTTCAGGGATAAGACCTACCACCGAACTAGGTCTTATTTTCGGGGTAGGTCTTATATTACAAAAAACCCTGAAGATAGCGCTAGGTCTTATTTTCAGGGTAGGTCTTACTTTCGGGGGAAACACGGTAGAAGACGCGTAGTAAAAGAAAATTTATAGCAAAACATGCATTTTCTGACAGCTTGAGAGAAAAATCTGCAGTCTACAGAGACACAGGGCTGGACAAATCCCAGGATCCAGGTATCCAATGCTCCTTAAAAATTACAGGGAGTGTCTAAATATTGAGGTTTTCTATAGTTGTCAATGGAGCTGGCGTCTAAAAAATGACCCTGCTGGCTCCTAACCCGACTTAGAAACCCTAAACAAATCACTAAACAAAATGACAGAGATTACCTCGCTGCCTATGTAGTCTTTTTTCCTTTCTAGTAAAAAAAAAAAAAAAAAAAAAAAAAAAAA